ACAAAAGATTCTTTTTGTTTTGATTGGTTTTTTAAGCCATGAGGTCCTAAAATGAGCATTTGTCATGTGTGAATGTAGAAGTACTAGGTGTGTGTGTGTGTGTGTGTGTGTGTGTGTGTGTGTGTGTGTGTGTGTGCCAAGAGTCTGCAAACTACAACCCGAGAGCCTAATTCTGCTGTGGCCCACTAGGCAAGAATGGTTTTCATATTTTTCTAAGACTGGTACCCATAGAAATCAAACCAAAATAATATGCATCAGACTGTATAATAACCTAAAAGCCTAAAATAACTACTCTCTGGCCCTTTACGGAACACGTTGTCAGCCCTCTGTATTAAAGGAAGAAATATACTTAAATAGATCTGACCCAGAGCCTAGTACAGAAGGGCTATTTAGAAAGGTACAATTTTACTGCTGAAAAAGAAAGAACCTTCCCGGAGCAATTTAGCTTCCAGAAAAAGGCCAATGAGACTCTGCATCTGGGACAAAAATGGTAAGATGTATCGAATACATAAATCGCATTAGTTCGCCTTCCCCCTTAAATAAAATGAAATATTAATAGTGAACTATGCTTATCCTTTTCTTTCAAACAAGCACTACACCCACTAAAAACATCCCAAACACCAACTGCCATTGGGCCCATTCTACAGGACAGGTGGAGCGGCTCCCTGGGGCTTCTGAGGCTGTCTATCCTTGTGAGAGCAGAGACCTTCGTGTGACTCCTGTAGAGCGGCTGGTGGAGTCCCACTGCTGAACTTGTCAGCAGGCCAAGGCATAACCCACGGCACGAGGTTTTCTCACCCACTGAGAGGAGCCGTCACTGCGGGAAGGCTAGCCCCACCTAAAGACAAAGCAAAACCCGTTGCTATTGAGTGGATTGGGACTCAGGCACCCGCGTGTTTCAGAGCAGAACTGTGCTCCACGGGGTTGTCAGCGGCTGTGGTCCTTCAGATCAACCGTCCCATCTTCCCAGAGGCCTCTAGGTGGCTTTTGAGAGGCGACTCGTTGGCTATCCATCAGATGAGCACTTAACTGTTTGCACCCCCAGGGAGTCCTAGTCCAATATCCCCAAACCAAAGCCATCCTTGAGTCCATTCTGACTCATAACTACTCTGAGGACAGTATAATTGGTCCGGAGGGTTCTTCTACATCTTTATGGAAGCAGCCAGCCTCATCTTTCTCCCTAGAAGCAGTTGGTAGGTTTGAACAGCTGGCCTTCGGGTTAGCAGCCTAAAGCTTACTCCACTATGCCATATACATCCGTACCTTCCGTAATGTGGCAGAAACACTAACTGCTTCCCAAATAGGCATGTTTTCCATCATTTCCAAGGCCTCTTGCTGATAGAGCCATGCCTCATCCCAACCAATGGGCTATGAAGGGAAGTAATAAATCCCCAACAAAATAGTTGAGGGCCACTGGAAAAGTCTTCAACTTGATCTTCCTCCGCTACAGTGCCCTGAGCAGCTTCCCTTTGAGCTGATGGAGTGAGTCCCAAGCTGCAAGCAGGCTGGATCCCCGAGTCACCACATGGAACACAGCTGCTCTGGCGTCCACCCAGCCTCAGCAAAAGTTAGACAAGTAAGAAATAAACCTCCTCCATTGGATGTCACCGAGATTTGAGGCTTCATCTGTTCCTATGTGGGTGCTGTTAGGTGCCATTCCGTAGATTTTCAACACACAACTCCATGCGACAGAGCAAACATGCCCCAAGAGGAATTTCTTGGCTGTAATCTATTCAGAAGCAAATCACTAGATCTTTTCCCCACAGAACTCGATTGGGTTTGGACTTCCAACGTTTGGTTGAGGAGCTGGGCGCCTAACAGATGAGTCATTGAAGCTTTTCATTGATTACCCCAAGCAATCCTAGCCTAACACACCAGTTGCCAGAGGAGACACAAACAGGGAGGAAAAGGCCAGGGGTGGCAATCTCCCGTTCCTCAGGCCTGCCATGAGTTCACCGCATTCACTTGGGATGAGAAGCCTTGTTGTGGATACGAGCTTGCAACGTGCTCTTTTCCAGGTGGCCGGGGTAACAGGTCCTAGAAAGAGTCTATTTTTGTTGTTCCTAAGGGTTTGGAATATAAGCCAGAGCCTTTGCTTTCAAAAGAGCTAGTGGGCCCTCTTCCAAGTAGGGAAAATACTGAGTAACTACCTCGGGCCCTTAATTTAGAGCCATTTCATTAAAAAAAAAAAATCTGTAAATAATGCAAGCCCCTGGTTTTGGCCTCTCTTTAATGTCTTATTGTGAAGTTGCGAAACGCTCAAATCGATCCCCACGTTTGCGCCCTACCCGGCGATTCTATCCTCCCCGACCTGGCTCCTTGAAATGCCTCATCTCCACACTCAGCACGGACACGGATGCTCACAGAGGGAGGCTGCCAAGGCGGGGGAGGCTCTGTCCCTCCTCTTTCAAAGCCCACTCCCCATCCTTCCCCCAGCGCCAGCCCTCGGGTGCCAGCAGACATCAAACCTCAGAGCTAATTGTGTGCAGTGAAAGCAAGTCCCCGGAAAAGAGCACAAATGCATACCCCGTTTGTCTCTGGAACCAGATGTCGACAAAGCTCCCTTGACACAAAAGCTGCCACAAATAATCCACTCATTTACTACCCAGGAAACACGCTCCTGCCATGGAAAAGTGATGACATTCAGTTGAACCAGCTCCCAGGACTGCTCGGGATTAGTCTTCCTCTGCGTAGCACACGGAGGCTCCCACAAAGAAAACCAATAACCCAGAGGTTTCCAGACGACTGCCCCTCCTTGAGCCCCCTCCCTCCAAAAAGGAGCAAGCCTTGCATTCTTCCTGAATTTGTCTCACTGTGTTCTACGGCTACACAGAAGACTGTCTTATTGATTTCACCTAGTAAAACGCAATAGCCGTTTAGTAGCTAAAGCAGTTAGTAAGGCTATCTGAGGATTGTTCCATTGGGTGATGTGTTGAAAGGCAATTCCACAGGAACACTGCCTTGTTTGGCTCTGAGGACCGAGGTTGGATGGGGTTAAGAACCTGAGGCTCTAAGCACATGCAGCCACCCGAGCGGGAGAATGAGAGACAATGCAGAGACTGGTCCTGGTGGGAACCCCCCCAATACCTGCTCTAGCTGCTTGACCAGCCATTGACTCCCCTTTCAGGACAGTGGGCACCAACTCTGATTTCTCTGGGCTTTGATGGAAGACCCCTGTCTCACGATCCCCAGGAAGACCTTGCACCATTTGGGGCTCCCCAGGTGTGTTCAAAAGGCTGGGGATGATCATCTTAGCCCTTTTCTGTCCCAGTGTTGATTCCTAGAGAGAACAGCTGCATCACTAAGACTAGAACCTCACCCTTTCTCTCAGACTTCAGGGACCTTTGTGTAGTAGCCCTGAGCCCTTGCAGAGGAGCAGGAAGGTATAAGCTTAAGCAAGGTGGCATTCACAAAGGGTGGTGCCAACAGTTAAGAAAGAGGTAACAACTGGAACCATCGCCATAGGTGATCTAGAGCCAAGGTTGGCAAACTTTTAAGACAGAAGAGCCAATCCTGTCCCTCATAATTGAAAAAAAAAAAAAGACTCGGGAGCCACACATATATATATCTACAAACACGTGAGGTCACCCCAATCTGAATAACCGTTGACGATTTTATAAATGAAGTGATGTTGTATCTTCATTTCCATCTTCAAAGCCACTTGCACGTACTGAAGAAGCCCCACCCCATAAGGCTTGCGAGCCGATCCTAGACCCACCTCCTGGATTCCCGACCAATTCCCTTCCCTCATCTCCAACTGCTAGACATTGAACCATGTGCCCCCAAAAGGTATGGTGAAGTTCTCACCTCTGGTACCTGTGAAGCTGGCCTGGCTTAGACACAGGGTCTTTGGGGATGCTGTCAGTTCAGTTGTACTTCGTAGGTCTCTGTGGTGGGGTGGGCCCGGATCTGAGTGGTGTCCTTAAAAAAGACACACAGTCCGGCATGTGAAGATGCAGACACAAGTAAAGGTACGCCTGGGGCCACCAGACGTGTGATCGTCTAGAGACTTTGGTGGGAGCGTGATCTGGTTAGTATGTTGAGACGATAAATTTGTTTTCATAAACCACCCGGGTTATGTTTATTTTGCTCTGCCTGTCCGGAGAAACTAATCATGGACTAAAAGCAAAACGAGGACACAATCTAGAATCTTCATAGACATTCTTTGTGTGCCATTTCCAGTCTCCATGGAAGATCCCCCCAAGCTCACCCCAGGAGCTAAAACAAATTCTGACTAGTTTTGAACTGCTCATGGACACTCTCAGTGTAGATTCCCCTCTTGCAGGTGGAATGAAGCAAACAATGCCCCAGAGGCCCCACAACCCAATTCCCAATAATACCCAGTGTGTACAGCAGTGTTTAAAATCTAGGGGTCTGAGGTCTCTGGATGGCCCAGACTAGAGGCAACCCGAGCTCCGTGTTGCCGGGGGTGTGCAAGAGGATTGTTCAATTGAGGTATTCCACATACCCGGAAACGACTGCCCGAGGGTTGAGTCAGACTCCAACTCCGTTCCTCAGGTTCCTCCTTTTGCTTCCGGCCCCATTTCTGCTTCAAGTGTGTGCGGGCACTCAAAATTGGGGTGCTTGGCACCCTAAAATGCCTGACGCAGTGACATACCCTGCTCCATCTTGTCTGAACGCCTGCTTCTGAGAGCTGTACCTCTTGTACTAATTTCAATAGTTTGTTGAGCAGGCAATGTGGCTACACTTGGACAAGTCTGGGTAAGTCTGAGTAAGTTCAACCAATCCTGATTTTTCCTGAGCAGTTTCTGCTTTTCCACTATAAATCTCTCCTCAGCTCCAGTAAACCAGGGCCCTTGTCAACCCCCTGGTGGCCCTGGGCTACCTGATTCGTGAATTGCTCTGTCCCTCAATCAATCTCCTTTGCTCTCACTTTAAACTCACTTCAGTGGCTGGACCGATGCCTTTCCCTAGGGGAGGGTACGGCCATTTGTAATGGACTCCATGTTTCACGATTGACCAGTAAATACATGATGCAGTCACAGTGGGGGAAAGTATATTTCACAGTCGTTATAAAAGTACATATATTTCATCCCAGTGACATAAACAGAGTCCTTACTGATGCCCAAATCAGATCATTGAAACGGACAGTTCTCTCCTGCATGTCCCGTGATGATAATTCAGTCATTTCTGCCTGAAATCCAGGCCAGTTGAAGCCACAGGCACAGTGGACTGATGAAAAGCAGCCCTGGGTCACACAGACAACACACCTGTATGCACTTAACAAAGGGGCAGTCAAGCTTGCCGTATAAATACAGTAAGCTGATCAAGAGTTTGACATTTCTCCTTCCACTCAATTTCTAGACTTGTCACAAAACCACAGTTGCTACCTCACCCCCCCCTCAAACCTCTCACTGGGTTCAGGATAAACCTGAGTTCATAGTTCCAGTCGCCAACTGCGCGGTGGTTAGTGAGCCATTCAACCGTCCATAGCTGTTCTTGAAGCACATGAGGAATGAGAAACGTTTTCCCTAGTTAACAATCACACGCTCCTGTTCTCAAGGAAAGTAAAATACAAGCAAAAGATACCAAGGGCTAAAGGAGTTCACAACATCCAGGGAAAGCCAGGGCAGGCTCGCAGAGCAGGGCAGCAGCTGCTGCTGGAAACCTCTTTTAAGGTTTCTTCCGGGGCCAACATCAAACACGTTAGCACAAATGGACAGAAGCGTCCTCTCCAGGTGATTCTCTCTCTCTCTCTCTCTCTGCTTACAAAGTTCTGGAAGTTGGTCTGAAGCCATTCAGAAGACCACCACCAATGGCCAGGAAGTGACCCCCTCACACAGTGCCCTAGAGTCAGGGGGAGCCCCGCGGGAAGGGGAAGCAGCTCCCGGTCTTGCCAAAGCATCTTGGGGGCTTCAGGAGTCAACCAAATATCATCCTTCCCTCACTGAGTGACGTGTGGGGATTAAAAGATGTCGCCAGAGGCTGTTAACTGTGGACACTATGAAGAAGCACCTCACAGCTGTGTGGCAACGGCTGGTTACCAGTGAAAATGAAGCCAGGCTTCCCCCGCTCAAGTCTTGGCCTGTTAGGGAGTCAGCTGAGACTACTATTGCTGCCCAGTGTGTCCACAGTGATGGTTTCTGGTCACCCCACTGTGTCCACGGTGGTGGTTTCTGATCACCCCACTGTGTCCACGGTGGTGGTTTCTGGTCAGAAGTCGAAGGCTCCGTGCCATCGTGTAACCCATCTCCTGTGCTAAGCGCTCTTCATTACCCAATCCTGCCCATGGCCAAGGACACCCAACCAAGTGCCCCACACTGGGGAGAAGCCCCTTCAGGCTCCAGCTAAACAAGGTCAGACAGTACCAATGTCCACAAAACGTGCACAGAGGGACAAAACAGACACAAAACCAGAGATGCGTCTTTGGTTTGATCCTTGGCAAAAGGTGTGTGAACACAGAACATGGACTAGAACCCTGTTTGTAGAACATCGTTTCCTCGACGAAGAAACGGGACTTTGATCTGAACACCCCCACCCCCCACCCCCAGGCAAGCCTGCTCCCGGATCAGGGCAGACGAAGTGAGCTCTGAAGCACTCGCTTGCCTGGCAGCTCCAATACTGCACTGCCCAGAGGTAAGGGTGCCTTCTTGCTGCTCAAATTCAGCCTTAACCCCTTTTCCCACTTTCTAACTGTGCTCCGTGCGTGCCCTCCGGAAGGATCCGAGTGATGGTGGGCCCACAGCCCTGAGTGCCCAGGCTCTGCCCGCTGTGTCCTCCCGTGAAAGCAGGACTCTGGTGGAACTGTGTCCCGTCTCTCCACCTAGGTTTTTTACAAATCGGGCTATTTTGATCTAATGACAGCACATGAAGAAAAACCTCTCCAGGGAAGAGAATTCAACCGTCGGCAGTTTTCACCCCACAACCAAACCGACCAGGAAACCAAGGGTCAGAACAGCGTTTCGGAACGAGTGCTCCCTTCTCTTCAGTCATTCAGCAGGGCGCTCACCGTGGGTTCAGCGCTCAACGTTCAACTGCCCGTTCTCCGCCGAGCGAGCAGGGTCGCAGCTGGGGGCGTGGCTCCCCTCTCCCTTGAGTTGCTGGGAGTAGAGCTCCTGCTTGCAGTTCCTGCTGGCCTTCCCTGCTGCTTCACCAGCAGAGGAATCGGGGGAGGGCTGTGAGCACCTCTGTGGATGGATGGGCCACCGTGGGAAGCTGCTGGGCCCGCCAGTCTCGAGAGCAGAGCCCTGCACCAAGGCACACACAGCGCTCTGGTGCAGAGAGGTCTTGAAATAGTCTGCGTCATCCCCGGGACCCAGACAGGAGGCTGATTCCTGGTGCTCCTCCCCAAGCCCAGGGGCAGTGGGGCTTCAGTGGTGGAATTCTTGTCTTCCATATGGGAGGCCCAGGTTTGGTTCCCAGCCAGGGCACCGTATGCCTAGCATCACCTGTCTGTCAGCGGAGGCCTGTGGGTTGCTGTGATGCTGAATGGGCTTTAGTAGAGCCTGCAGACTGAGCTAGACAAGGGAGAAAGGCCTGGCAATCATCCTATGGATCACAGTGTGAAACTGATTTACGGGGATAGCGCAGGCTCTGCGGGGTTCCCTTCTTCTGGACATGGGATCAGCATGGGCCGGGGTTGGGGGGAACTGGAGAGTGGATGGGAAGAAGGGGGTCGGAATGCTGAAACTGGCTACACCAGTAGCCAGCTCTGGTGAAAGTTACCAGCATCTCTGGGGGTCCCCTGTGGGGCTGGGTGGTACAAGCTGAGGACGGGTCGGCTGTTCCAAAGCTGGAGCAGACACACGAGCTGGCAAAAGGTGAGGTCTCAGTCTCTTCAGGTCCTGGCAGATGTGCAGAGCCCTGTCCCAGCAGACCAGGAACCCCGAGGGCCAGGTTAACACTGGCCTTTGAGGCCATCGGCCATATCGAGGGAGAGGCTGACGGGGGCCAGAGGCTGCAGCGGTGGCATGCTGGTCTCTAGGAGCCTGTCGGCTGAGGGCTGCAGGCTCTGATGCCGCTTCCTTAGCATCTGCCCAATGCCCATCATGGGGAACCTGCCGCGGCTCTTCACACAATTCGGGCTCCCCAGAGGCTGTGCGGTGCCTACAGTGAGGACCGGGGGTGGGGAGCACACGCCTTCGTCCCTGGGGTGGCTGTTCTTGTCTTCATGAGCGAAAGAGACCAGCGTGGGGTGTGACGGCGTCTGCACAGGTGAGGTGCTTCCGGGTGGCAGGCCCAGGGAGAGCGTCCTCTCGCTGGAATTCCTGCGAGCACAGTTCACCGGGGAGCCCAGGACCCGGTAGTGATGGGCCGGGGAAAGCAGCAGTTCTGTGGGGTCATCACGGTCCACGGACTCAAAGGAGCGCACCATATCCAGCATCAGGAGGGTCTCCTCTTTAGGGGAGAGGCTGGTGCTCCCCGGCCCTTGCTGGTGGGGCTCTGGTTTCTTTACGATTCTGGGGGTCCTCGGAGGCGGGACGGCAATGAACTCCATGGATGAAGAAGCCACACAATTGGAATCCGAGGTTTTGCGGAAAATGCTGCGGCAGCCAAAGGCATCTACAACCGAGAAAGCAGATGAAAGTACGAAAAATGACCAACAGTGCGCATAGCCCTTCTTGCGCCGTCCACCCGGCTGCTCAGAGCGCAGACACAGGGGAAGTCACTGAACCTGGAAGCAGACAACCTTGGCTACTCCACCAAGCGGGCAACAGCAGCAACCAACTGTCCCAAGGGCCTGTCCAAGTCCTTCTGGAAAGGGGAGGTCGCCTTGGTTCCTATATGTCTCCTGGCACCAACAGTTATGAATTAAATTGTGCCTGCATAGTATGTTTTGGAATCCTTAGCCCTATGGAAAGGTGCCTAGGTGCGGGTAGTGGGTTATGTGCTGGGCTGCGAACCACAAGGTCAGCAGTATGAGGCCACCAGCTGCTCCTCGGGAGGAAGAGGAGGCTTTCTACCCCCGTGAAGAGTTGCAGCCTCAGAGAGACTCACTGGGGCAGCACTGCCCAGTCCTGTATGAGTTGGACTAGACTCAATGACAGTGAGCTGGAGCTTGGGTTTTTTTTAATACCTGGGGATGCAATCCCATGGGCAATAGGGTTTCCTTGTCATGGTAAGTAGGGTGGGCCTTAAACCAATTGCTTGTGAGATTTGTTGTGGGTGTCACGTCGCAAGGAGTGGATTCCGGCCCTACAGGACAGAAGAATCCCATCCCATAGCGTTTCCAAGACTAATCTTTAGGGGAGCAGACTGCCAGGTCTCCATCCTGCAGATCGGCTAGTGAACCTGAACCCCCACCCTTTCGATTCGCATCCCAGCACTTAAGCATGGCACACAACCAGGGCTCCTTTTGAAGATAAGAAAGTTGCAGATTCGGCACAGGCGAGCAAAGATGCTCCACACGAGATCTCCAAGGAACCACGGACAGAAGCTGAAAAGAGTCACAGACCTTCCCCAGAGCCCACACAGAGAGAGTGCGAGAGCTTCCCCTACAGCCGGCGCCCTGCGTGCAGACTTCTAGTCTCCTGCGAGAAAAGAAGTCTGTTTGGGAAAGATACCCACCCACTGTGATTGGTCTGTGACAGCACCATCAGAGAACTAAGACACCCCTGCCCCAAGCATCAGCAAGTTGGTCCCCAGCTCTCCTGTCCCAGCCTGGAAAGAGCCTCTCCCACCTGACGTGATCTGAAGGGAGCCTCCCTGGGTTCTGCCAGGAGGAAGAACACGCCTCTGCTATAGGCTGAGGACAGCAAGCCAAGCGCCAAGGTTTCTATCTCATGTTGGCACCGGCTGGAACGAGGTTTGCCAACTGTGCCAGGAATGAAAGGGGAAGCCCCCACGCCTCTGGTGCCAAGGGGAATAAAGCCAAGTTCACGTGGAACAAACTCTGCTCTGACATCTTTGCTCTGCAGGCCCTGTTGCAGCCCACCTGGCAGTGTCAGGCGCAGCCAAAGGCAACGGGAATCCCCGTGCCGGACTTAAATGAACACATGCAGAAAACCCGCAGGCACAGGGTCCGTGATGACCCCCACGCTGCCACAGACTAAGACCGGTGCTTCATAGGGTTTTCCATGGTTGACTTTATTTTTGGAAGTTCACCGCCAGGCCTGTCTTCTGAGGTGCCTCAGGATATCCTCGAAAACCCACCCTTTCTGATCCCCAAATACCGGGTACCTGAATTGGTCCCTACAATACCATGTTTCTGCCCTTCCAGGGGAGCTTCAAAAAATTGGTGGGAAAACAGAATGAAAAGATCATGGAATTTTTCTGCATACTGTTTGAAGGCTCTCCCACACCTGGACAACCCCCCTACCTTTCCCCTTTCTTTACTCTGTCGTGCGCAGATGATACATGTCCTAGTTGGGCCTCTGATGGCCCTTGGGTCGCCTCAGGTGCACCAAGTCTGCTTTGCATTGGGCACGAGAACCCCCATCCCCTACCCCCACCCTGTGCATAAGAGGCGCACAACAGACACGCAGCTCAGCACGTGTGACTCTGAAGGGCACCCAGGGCTGACTCACCTTTGTCGGGGAGACCAGGCTTGGGGGCCTTCCGGTCCCGCAGCAGCGCCTTGGTGCCCTGGATCTGCGTGATGAGTGAGCCGTTGGCCTGCTTGTGGGGGGCTAGGTTCTTGTCCAACTTCTTGGAAAATGGCCAGTGGAGAAAATCCCCTCTTTTCTCCTGTTCTTTGGGCTTTTTATCCTTCAGATTGGGAGGAAACATAAAATACTGAGACACAAATGAAAGACGCAGCACTTGATCCCTTATCTCTTTAGTCTTCATTGCTCGAGTAGTTTTATCTTTGGGTTCTTAGATTGGAAAACTAAAAGCATCCAAGACATTTGGGGAAAAGGACAGAAGAGTGGTGGTATTCTTGAGTTAAGATTATTATTCTTCGGTGGGATCTCATTAAGGTCTGAACATAAAACACTTGGACGTGACTAAGAGCAATACACAATGTGATTCCTCTTTTAAGTGGCAGCCAGGTGAATTAGACTAACTTGAGCTTTTCAAAAACGCGACACTCTTGACTGCATGTTGAATGATGAATGAGGGTAAAAACCCGGCACCAGTCCGGGCAGCGAGTGGGCTGGATGGTGCCCAGCTTCCCTGCACTACATTTGGTCAAGCTGCTGCAGCACCCAAGAGGGCTTTTCTGGTATTGGCTCTGACTCCCAGTGACCTTCTGCTTCCTAGATTGGAACTCTGCCTAGTCCTGCACCACCGTCTCCACCACTGGTCTGTGTGAGTCGCTGCCTGTACTGCATCATTCCATCTCTGGGGAATTTATTTCCGTTTAGCTGATCCGCTAAGTTTAGGTGACACGATGCCCTTTGCTAGCGATTGGTCTTTCCAGAACTATGTGTGTGAAGTGAGGGGAAGCGTGGCCACCCTGGCTCTTAAGAAGAAGCAAGCATTCTGGGCTTTTTCTTTTAAGACTGATAGGCTTTTTCTTCAGGCAGCCCCTGGGGGACTCACTATTCTTCACCTACACCACCGTTCAAACCTCATCTCACTGCCATTGAGTCGACTCTGACTTAGAACGACCCAACAGGACAGAGTAGACCCGCTCCTGTGCGTTGCCAAGACTGTAGCTCTTGGTGGGAGTAGAGAACCCGTCTTTCTCCTGAGGACACCAGCTGCCGGTTCCAAGGGGCTTTCTGGTCCGCAGTGTAAGCACTACACCCCTAGCAGGTCAACTACTCTGAGCCTGTGGACGGAGTGAAGGGGAAGCAGAGGGAGACTTCTGAAACAGACGGTCGGCATTTAAAGCTGGTGCCCTGAGAATTTCCTCACGGCGGTGGCTTTTCAAAGAGAGCAACTTTAAATGTCACCACTCCCAGCTTCACATCAAGTCTTGTTTCTTCAGTCAAGCCAGGAGGCGGCCAACACAATGAGGGTGAAAATCCGTCACCCTGAGCAATCCTGCTGGAGGAGCCACTGGCTTTCCTCCCAGCCCTCCTGTGTTGTCGTCTGAGCACTGAGCTGTGTGCTTAAAAGTGGCACATAGTTAGCCATTTTTGTTGTAAGTCTTGCCTTTATTGATTGAATCCTTCAATGGACGCGAACTTGACAATTTCATAGCTCACCCACCCCACCGCCTCTGGAAGACAGCCAGACGCCCGGAGGAAGCTCAATAAACGGTCACTGAAAAGGAAAGGAGTGCCAGGAGAGACCCGACAGAGCTGAAGTAATGGAGTTCGAGCTTCTGGGAAGGGCGATGCCACTCAGAAGTTCTCTCCCTGGCACTGACGCCCGTGTGTGATGTTGACAATTACACAGAGCCAACCCCGTCGACTTGACTGTGGGTCAGGAGAGAGAGATGTTTCAGTTCCCCCTTGAACTTGAAAGCATTTGCAATTCAAGAGAGCTCATCTATTTTTCATGTGTGCCACTGAAAAGCTCGAGGAAACCTCACCCTCTTGCTCTTTTATTGCCTTTTCTCAAGAGGCTTTCCAAAGCCTCCACCGAGCGGGGGCTCATGAAGTCTGGGTTTGGGGTGGGAGCGGAGGGCAGAGAAAACAGGGGCAGGGAGGAGGCCACAACCTGAGCTTTGCCCGAGGGGAAGCGTCTCACTTCTTGCTTGGTTCCATCTCTATTTTTATATGAAATGGATCAAGTCTACCTGTGAACATCTTAAACAGCACGCGCACACACACGTACGCAGTCACCGCTTATTAGACAATGTTTGGAAGAACAAACAAACAAATCTCGATTTTCCCTCCCTTTCCCCTGCCCTGGTTTTTTGGTTTGTTTCAGGATGATTTTTTGAACAGTGAGAAATCCTTTGCTGCCTCTGACTCCTCTGCTTCTAGGTTCGTGTCTCTCCTTCTTAACCTTCCTTTGCGCTCTCAAAAGCGACAGGTTCAAGATGGAAAAGTTTGGGAAGCTGTGGGGGTGGGGAGGGGGCGGGCTGCGTCATCAACCAGATGGAGCTCATTAGCACCAAGAGGCGCACAACACCAGGGAGTTTGCCATGAAATGCGACCCTGGTCGGCTCGGGACGGCTCCACTGTAACAGACGAGAGGATGAAAACCAGCAGAAAGTCAGTTCTGGGACAGGAATGGGGTCAATGACATTGCTGAAAACGTACTATGGTAGTCGCATAATCTGTTGTCAATTTGAGACTTAACAGTGAAGGGGTGGACTTTAGCCTGTCAATCAGGTCACAGCTTGATGACCTCATTTGGAGCGTTAAGGAGATAAATAGTTTGCTGGAGGTGGGATAGACACACGCATACCCCATGCAAAACATTCCTGTTGAGAAGACACAGGGAGCTACTCTAGAGCCCTGAAGCCGAAGGAGCCACATGGAGACCCCTGCCAGCACTGAGATGCTTACACTGCCACTGGGTCCACAAGACTTCCCACCCACTGGCCTGTGATGTTCCTGCATTCGGCGTCATTGCATGTGTTGTGTGAGTCTGAAGAGGAATTTATAGATTGGTGTTGGACATATGGGCTAATCTTGGACTTATGGACTTGATCTGGCCTGGGCTGGGATGTTTTCTCAATATTCAATTGCTCTTGTATATAAAGCTCTTTCTTATACACATGAGTGTCTATGAATTGGTTTCTCTGGTCTACCGGACTAACATACCTATTAAGACCACCTACGTTGAACTCAAATCCAGGATCCTGCATGCTGGTGTTCCCACAACAATAACCCCAGAATATCCCTCTCCAGCCTAAATGACTAGGTGATAGCCTAAGGACTGGTTTCTTGGGTAATGCCAAGAATTCCCCCACACAACCACCCCTGCTTGGCCAGGAACCTTTGCTGGGTCAGACCACAAGAGTCCCCAGAAAAGGTGCTTGTTTGCAGCTAAACAATCTCATCGCCCTCTAAGCACATGCTACACAGTGTAAGCCCCTCATCCAATTGTACCTTTCTTATTTGCATGGCCTATTTCATCCAAAAGACATTTCCTAAGGTGCAGGATGCTAAATTGCCTTACATAACAGAAAAAGATCTTCAAAGGCACCAATTACCTTTCCCCTTCTAGATGCATCCTTCTGTGTCCCCCTCCCCAGCGATGTGTTGCCTGCAGGGCTCTTTAACTTCCCTGACTTTCTACAGTCCAGCACTACATGGGGATAGGGGGTGGGCAGGGCCTCTCCGGGAGGGCTGTGGATTCAAGCTCTCCGTTCAGAGTCCCTCCTGTTTGCAGGCTCAGGGCTTCATCCCCATCACTTGAAGCAGATCAGAGATGGGACCACGGGCGGCCACCATCACAAACCCACACAAAATGGGTTCTGCTCTTCATTAAACCATTTTCCATCCACTGCTGATGGGCATGGACATTCTGAAAATGTGGCCCTGTACGGGTCTCTCTCCCGGGACTTTCTGAATGTCGTGAAGGGGAAAGAAGGCAGTGAACGGAACTGAATCGTGGAAGTCAACACAAGATGCATGGAAGTCCTAGCCCCTGGGACCTGTGGAGATGACCTGGTTTGGAAAGAGGGTCTTTGATGATATTATTGGTTAACGAACATGACAGTAGGTCCTAATCCTATCTGCATGAGAGGACAGACCCATATAGGCAGAGGACAGAGGGCCACGTGGCCAGGCAGGCAGGCACAGCTATAAACCAAGAGTGCCAAGGTTTGAAGAAACTCCCAGAAGCAAAGGGAGAAGGATGGTTCAGGTTCTCCCTCAGAACTCCCAGGAGTCAACATGGCCAGCATCCTGATTTGGGCTACTGGCCAGCAAGACTGTCAGACAATAAATGCCTGCTCTCTAGAGCCCCACTCCATGGGAATTTGTCACCGTAGTCCTGGGAGCTGAAGACAGTGATGAGCCACAGGTCTTAGGAGGGGTGCTGGCTGCAGCTTCAGAAACTTGGTCCTCTCACTCTGTGGTCTGAGCCGGGGTGCTGGGCCCAAGGACAAGGCCTCCAACACACCCATGCCTGTAGCTGAAGAATCCCTCCAGGCTCCTGTGTTTCACATAACCATGCCGTCTCCCCCACCTTGTTTCTCTGGATGATGCAGGCATTGGCCACACCTGCTGCTTGGCAACCTGCGATCTGGAACCCACTCCTGGCTCTGGTGCACAGGGAGACTGTGTGCACGCCCCCTCGAGCGCCCTGTTTCCTCGTCTGCAGCCAAAGAGGGAGTCCTTCCCACATGATGGAGTATCAAGCAGACCCGGCATCTCACCTGCCTCATCCCCCATGCAGCAAAGACAACCAGTGAAAAAGTACAGATGCTGCTGCTCCTACTTCACCCCCAGGGTGCAGGAAAAGTGGCTGCCCATGCATTTGTTGCGCACCCCCCACCCCCCACCCGCCCAAGCACTGAAGTTCAGACCATGGGTGATTCTGGCAATAGAGAAGCCCTGGGGGTCTGAGAGAGGCAGAAGCTTTTTGTATGTGTGTGTGAGGAACTCTATCAAATCCTCCTAGGGGTTGTCTCTGGCACCCGACATCTCCTTAATGATGGCACAACATCTGACTGTCACAGCAGTGGGAATCAGGTATGCACACCTGGAATGGCCCAGGGATCATTTGTCAATGGTGCTGGATTGTTGTGACCCACGGCATAAAGGGAAACCACTGAGGTATGATTTTGTACCAGCAAAAAACCACCACCAAAAAAAGGTGAGTTGGGAAAAAAGAGGTTGGGCTCATAAACGAGGCCACAGAGCCTGGGATCTCTGGGCGGCTGCAACCCCCATTTTTCACAGAGGCAGAAATACAAATGCATAGCCAGGTTGTGCAGTTTTAACAACACCCCAAAGACTGGTCAATTACACACAGAAAACATCAATCGGATGGAGTATGGCGCTTGGTAGGCCCACTCCCAAAGAGGAATCTGCAAGTTTTAGTTGCCATTGGGGATAGGGGGGGACAGAGACTAGATGCTCTGGGCTGAGTTCGTCCCTTGTTAGGATCAGAACCCACCTTGTGCTTACCTGCACAGCATGGAATTCCAGGTCTCTTGTCCAGGTGTCCAGGGAGGCCTGTGAAAAGCCGAAGTTTCAACAGTTCAAGCTGTACCTGCTGTTTATGTCCTAAACGTGAGCTACGATTTCCTCTACAAATCGTCCTCCTTTTCAATGTTCACAGACAAGAAAGCAAACTCCTGAAAAGTCTGGGAAGCAGGCAGATGGCCTTCCAATATAGACACCGCGAGGTTTCCCAGATAGATGGTCTTATCAAAGGGTAAGGCTGTTAGGGATTGAATTACACTTCTCCATAAAGATATACTGAAGTCCTCACCCATGTTCCCTGGGAAGGTGACCTTGTTTGGAAAGCAGGTCTTTGGAGATATTCCCATCAGTGAGGGTAGCAGGGGTCCAACAGGTATCGGTGACTCCTAACCTTATGTGACTGAGGTCCTTGTTAAACAGGAGGGACAGATGAAGGGCACCCTGTGATGCTGGACCTATGAGCCAAGGAACGCCTGGCCGTACTACCCGAACCTAGGAGGAGAGGCACAGACTAGATTCGTTCTAGGAGCCTCGGGAGAAGCCGGCAGGGCTGACACCCTGATTTGGGTGTCACAAACCTCTGCCACTGTGAGCCAAACATTTCGGTTTGTGTAAACCAGCCACGGCCGGTGTTTCATGACGGCAGTCCTGGAAATTGACACAAAGGCATGTTTTTCACCCAAGTTTCAGACACAGTAGAGCGCACTCCTGCTGAATACGCAGCTCCACCTGTTTTCACAAACGGCCTGTGGAAACAGACTGAGACACAGAGGCCTGCTTCTGGGAGGCTCCCCCAGTCCGGGGTCCCCTGGGGTCAGGATGGTAGCAGCACAGACTGGTTCTGCCTGATTTCAAAGCATGCTTGAAGCTGCCTAGGTTTTTAAACAAGACACACAGCAAGCCTTTTCCCTTAAGATCTAAAGCGCCTCCTGGCACACACAACTTTTCTCCCCCAGGAGCAGCATTGCTTTGCCACTGCAGAGAATACCACTCGGTTCTAGTGTATCCTTTTTCTGCACATGAGCATTCTTTTTAACAGTGGCCACAAAAAATAAACATAAATAGATAAAGCCTTCTGGCTGGATGACTTTCATTTAAAAACAAAACAAAAAAACCCTGCTGTCAAGCTGACCTTGTCTCAAGGTGACCCTGTGTGTGTGTCTGCAGAGAGCTGTGCCCCCAGGGTTCTCAAGGGCTGACTTTGGGGGAGTGGATCACCAGGACTTTCTTTAGAGGCATCTCCAGACGGATTGGACTTCCAAGCTTTCCCTCAGCATGCCAGTGTGGTAACTGTGCATCTCAGCCGGGGATTCTGGCTTTCATGAACCGGGTTCAAAACAATGACAGCCCCCGAGTCCTCCGGAGGCCCTTTTTAGAGGAAGAAGAATCTAGGTGCTCTCAGATGAGGCGTGTGCCCCAATTTCCCAGACAGAGGACTTGGAGAAACTGAGAAAGTGGTAACAGTGCAGCACTGTAATCCCCCGAGGGAGGTTTCTGTCAACTTAATTCAGCTACTTTGTTTCCCATGAAAAAAGGGCTGGAATCAAGAACAAAGGGGCCATTGCCTGGACTCGGCACAGACGTAACTTCCTGACATCCCAGGGGGACACGGACCCAGAGCCTCTCCACAGCCAGATCGGAGACAACCTGAAACTCCTATTCACTACTCCCTAGCCCGCCCACCCTGCAGCCCCCTGCCCCACACCCACCAGTCCTGACAGCTCCTCATCTGGGACCAGCAAGCCTACCGGGCCAAGCGGACTTCGTTTATAAAGCCTGCGTGCTCTCAGACCCGCCTAGCACGTTGCCTAACTGGGTCTATGCCATTTTCTAGGTTCCAGAGGGGACACGTTGGATAATCTCGTCAGAGCCTGTAATTGAATTAGCAGAAATATTGCTGCCGTTTGGGGAAAACAAATGGATCATAGGGAATGGAAATCTTGCTTTCCCATTAGTGTTCTTATTGAAACCCCAGCCATTAAAGATTTCAGCAAACGTTTAAAGGGTGTGCCGTGTGTTTTCAGGCCAAGTAGAATCAGGATCAAAGGGAAGCCATCTGGGCAGGTGGGGTAGGGAGAAGTTCTAGCATCTTCTGACACACACCACAGAGACCCAAGTTCCAGGGTAGCGTAAATGTCAGCAACGTGGCTTAGGACTCACTTGGGGTAAAGAACCTGGGGCAGTCAGTGCAACCAACTGTGTACTAGGGAGATCCTAGGGAGACAGCTGGTCAAGAATCAGTGACATTTTGCATTGGGCAAATCTGCAGCAAAAGACTTCATTAATGTACTGGACAAAGCAAAGAGGTCACTCTGAGGACCAAGGTTTTTTCTAATCCTCCCCCCTCCCTCGCCCCTTCCATATGTCTGAGAGAGCTGGGCAGTGACAAACAAAGGCAGGCGAATGGGTGCAAGTGAACAAAGGCACTGGTGACCATACTGAATATATTTATGGGCTCCCACGAGAACAAACACAGCAACCTTAAAAGAAATGCCATCAGAGCGCCCCTTCGACTTGAGGAGGGTGAGAAGATGCACGCTGCTCATGAAAGGCACCAGGTGTGGGCTTCCTGGTACCCAGTAAAACTGAGACTCTGACATCCTCCCCAGGGGTCCGCCCCTCGTGGGGAGGTCTCCTGGGAGCTCCTGCCCTTGCTTCTTCCACCATCACTCACCTCATAGGGCCCCTTGGTCGCCCTGCACTTCTCTATCTGGTAGAGTTGGGTCTTGTAGCAGACGCTGTCCTGGAGGTCGGATTTCTGCCCCAGAAGAAAAGAAAACAAAACAAAACATGGCTCAGCTTTGGGGAAACAGAAATTATGCAGGCTTCATTTTGAACCCAGAAGCCGTGTGCCCGGCTGAGAAAAATCTCAAAAACGGTCGGCGAGTTCATTCATTGCAATGCCCGGCCTCATCCCAGGACGGCCCGTGGGCAGGGCGCAGACCCCGGCGGAGCACTGGGTGACCTACTTCTGCTCCCGCCTCTGTCAGGGAAGGGCCGAGTGACCTGGGTGGGCCACAGCACCTACACAGGACTCAGGCCTCTCACCTGTGCAATGGGGACTTTTCCAAGACAGAGAAGTAGGAACATGGGCCATAAGGTAAGCAGGTCAGCCTGGAAGAATAACGCTTTATTCTCAGGAACAACTACATAGGACCCAGAGGACTACATTAGAATAACGCTTTATTCTCATGAACAACTACATGAGGGGGGGCTTCAAAAAGTTCACGGAAATGTTCTATTATTTTTTCATTCCATTTTCCCATGAACTTTCTGAAGCCTCCACCTATCTTGTTTGCTCGATACATCTGCTGCCAAAAATGGTCCAAAAGTCCGAATCATAATAGAACTTCAAGGAAACAGGCAGTTGTACCTACAATAATATAAGCAGCAGCCTGTCTACAGACAGATGCAATTAAGTGTCTGAGTGATTAATTTATGACCCAATAAAATATCCACTGGGTGGTTTTCAGAAAGAGGCCAGACTCAAAGGAGGAGGAGAGAAATGGACAGATTATAAAGCATAATGTTGGACGGTTTAATTTACCAGTTTGTGTTGCCGAATTATACATGGGTTGTTGGAAATTGGTCAATCAGGTCATTAAATGAGACTGTGCACACCATGTAATTAAATCAGCCACATCTGGAAACCACTGAGTAGCCTTGGTGGCACAGTGGTTATGTGTTGGGCTGCTAATCACTAGGTCAGCAGTTTGAAACCACTCCTTGGGAGGAAGGCAAGGCTTTCTACTCCAGTAAACAGTTACAATCTTGGAAACTCACAGGGGCAGTTCTAACCTGTCCTTAGGGTCGCTATGAGTCAGCATCCACTCAACGGCAGTGAATTTGGTTTGGGGTTTGGGAATCACTGAGTGGACCAAGCTGTAAGTGTCCATGGGGTTAGTTGAGTCTAGGTAAAAATAGCCCCACTCTTAGATGCTGGTTCGCAGGTAAGCTGATTGTTGTTGTTGTTGTTAGTGGTCACTAGGTTGGCTCTTGAGTCCAGGTGAGTCCATGCACAAACAAAACTTTACCCAGTCCTGCATCATCCCTATGATCAGTTATGAATAGGACAGCAGTGGTTTTCCTTGGCTGGCTTTTGGAAGTGGATTGCCAGGCCTTTCTTCCTAGTCTGTCTCAGTCTAGAAGCTCTGCTAACACCTGTTCAGCAGCATGGCAAGCCTCCACGGACAGATGAGTGGTGGCTGTGTAGGAGGTGTATGGCTGGGAATGAAGCCCAGTCCTGCATGGAAGGCACTGACCACCGCTGCCACCGAGAAGGCCTGGACTGTGATTTAAGGGCGAAACGTGAGACAGACACTAAAACAAGCAAATAAAAAGACCTTTGTTAGAACTACAACTACTGCATTTCAGAGAATATTCTTGGTAGAGAGAGCGTGTACCCCATTGGAACAGTGTAGCCCTGACTCTGGGCAAAGCAGAGGAACAGAAATTCACAAATATCTTCTAAGCTGCTGTCCGTGTGAAGAGAGGTGGGTGAATCTATTCTCTTACACACAAGCTGGTTTACACAGGTTGTTCAGTGACCTTAGTTACACTTTTTCAGAGCTAGTCAGTGTTCTCTGCCATTGCACTCTGGTGGTGCCATTTCCAGTGCTCTAGGGTCCCTGTCCCTTTAGCTTCTCTTCTTTGCTTTAGAGCCATTGCTGATCTTCTGGTGTCATATAGAGGGATCTTTTTTACAGAGCCCTGTATAAATGGGCAACACTCTTGATTTTGACTCTCTGGTACATTGCTAAAGGTGATCTCGGGGGAAGTTTTCAGTTCAAGAGTATCTCAGATAATAGGCCCAGGAAGACCTCCAGTCTCAACTGGTCCAGTAAGTCTGGACTCTTTGGGAATTTGAGTTTGGTTCTGTGTTTTTTCCTTGTTCTCTCTATCCATGTCCGTCGATGATGGCTCCAATCAGAATGGTTGGTGGTGATAACCATGTAGTTCTTCTCATCTCCAGGTACATGAGACATAGAGTTTTCAGTGATTTTCAAAGATGGCTCATTTATCAAAAGCAGATCAGCAGACCTTTCTTCTTCCATTGGATCCTGATCATTAGTTTAACAGCTGAGCGCATTAACTGTATGTCCCATGCAGGGCCTCCTGCACAGCCACAGCAGTCCCCTGTGCCTACAGCATGGGGTGCCCAAAGAACTCAGAGGTAGTAAACCCGAAAGGGTAAGAGAGATGCTGAAGGGAAAAGAGCTGGAACCTTTTCAGCTTGATGGGAGAAGATTTGAACAACACTTCCGATAAAAGGTGCCACCTGAAAAGTAGGTCTAGCTGCTATTCTATCCCACATGCTGGAAACAAACCTCACACACAGCTTAACTAACAGCTCAGGAGCCCGTGTCAGCGACTGGGCAATGCTGACTGGAACCACCCTGTATCTCCAGAGAGCGCCGAAACCCACCACGAGGGCCCACTCACCCCGGACAGATAGCGCTCCAGCTTCTTGTTCAGGAGGAAGTAGATGGCGAGGATGTGGCAGGCGCGGTTGGAGAGCACGGTGTTGATCACGTCGCTGTTCTTGAAGCCCAGCTTCTCCGTCATGTGCAGCACCACACTCGGGCTCAGCTCCTCCAGGTGGATCCTGCTCGCAGGAGGGGGGTGGTCACACGCCCATGCCTTCTTGGAAAGGCTCTGGGGCCTCACCAGTAACACACATGAAGCAGCGCAGTTGGTCCACAGGCCCACACACCCATCTGTCCGCCCACCCATCCATCAACCCATCCATTTACCCACCGATCCATCCACCCATCTATCCATTCATCCATCCATCCACTCATCCATCAACTTATGTGACATTTTATTATGAAAAACTTTACAGAAAGGTGGAGGAAAGACTATAATTACCTTGGGTAGACCGACCCATCGCTTGGATTTAGCAATTGTTAGCACTTTGCCATGGACACTCACCTCTCAGTGTGGGGGCTTGGGTGTTGCTGTGAAGCCGGAAGCTATGACACCGCTATTTAAAACCCCAGCAGGGTCACCCAGGGTAGGCAGGTTTCAGCAGAGCTTCTACATTATTAGACTAGGAAGAAAGGTCTGCCAATCTACTTTGGAAAATCGACCAATGAAAACCAGCCATTGCTCAAGTCACCTGCTTCCAGACACATCACACACACACACACACACACACACACACACACACACTTGTCATCAAGTCAGTTCTACTTATGGAGATCTAATAGGACAGAAAAGAACCCCAACACAGGGTTTCAAAGACTGTACATCTTGATGTGAGCAGACAGCCTCATCTTTCTCCCATAGAGTGACTGGTGGGTTTGAACCACCAACCATTCCAATTAGAGTCAGTCTAGTGCTTAGCCCACGACACTACCAGAACCCTTGGACGCATCACCAGTAGAGATCAATTGCTAAGAGAGACTGTCTGGTGAAGAGTAGGATGTGCACAGGCCAAGGCAACATTCCGTGACCGAGATCGGCTCCGTGACAGTAGCTGCCACTCCGGACGGAGATGTGGCAGCAACAGAGAGAGACACAGACCAGGAGGTGCTTTGTTCTGTCTCTTGGAGTCAGAGTAGACTCCATGGCAAGTCTCTACCTCTAACTGTGCCACACTGGCTTCTTACTGTTCCCATGAAGTGATGCAAATCACAGCCATCAGGAGCCCTCACTCCCATTCCCTTCAGTTCCCATCTTGAAAAATCGACGCGCCTCCTGGGCAGAACCCAACAGGATTGTAAGAGCCCTTTACGAACCCTGTTGCTGTGTGCCGCTTCTCAGGGCTGTGAGTCTCTGGACGCAGGCGGCCTCGTCTTTCTCCCGGAGACCTTTGGGCTTTTGTCTCTCCAGTATCTCCTAGGGACACCCCAAGGAGCCTAACCTGGTGGCTCAAACAGTTAAGCACTTGGCTGTTACCGAAAAGGTGGGAGGTTTGAACCCAGCAGGGGCTTCACCAAAGAGAAATCATCTGGAGATCAGCTCCCATAAAGACTGCAGCCAAGAAGCCCCTAGGGGGCAGTTCCACTCTCTGGCCCGGATTGCTGTGCGCTGGAACGGACTTCCTCAAGCACACAGGCTGCTCTGTGAATGAAGGAGGTCATTCCAGGTTAGACTCAAACCACAAAGGCTAGGGGAGTCGGGAGGTCGGAAGGATGGGGTTGTGTGACCTCCAGGGCTCCTGGCTGCTGTCCTGGGGCAAACCCCTGTGTGGGCTGGCTGGTTGGAAGTGCAGGGGGTTGTGTGGCTCCTGTCCTTGTGGCGGGGACCCACAGACCCCAGTCTGGGCAGTGGGAGAAGAGAGTGCTGTTGAAGGCACTGACAAATGGGCTACCAGCACCAGCACGTGCTCGGAGGGGCCCACCCAGCCCCTACTTTTGATTATGCAAGTTGTGCTGCTAAAACCAGATCATTCATTCTCAGCATGCCTTCCTCTCCCCTTTCCAGAGAAGCCTCTGCTCACAATAAAGACGCCAAGGCACAGGCTCAGATGTGATTGTTGGAAGCCTGAAGGGTACTTGCCTCCGTGAAGTGGTCAGGGGATCTTCCATAAACAAAGATGCTGAGCTCCTGCTTTCTGCAGCATTTAAGACCTTAACCGACCTTAACCGTCCCGACGATCTGCCTCACTAGTTACCTGGCCAACCTTAGGATTCTGACCATGCCAAAGGCAAAACTCGGCAAGCTGCCCAACCGATGCCGTTTCTGAGGCCTGCCATCACAAAACACAGCTGCTCACCAGCATCCACGGGCTCCGGAACCAGGGACCGAAATACTCAAGGGCAGCAAAAGGGGGAAGGAGAGCCTGAAATGCAAGGACACGGCAAAGCAATTCCTCCAAGGCCGTGTGGGCGCAGCCAGTGCCGGGCACACAGCGTGTGCTCCGGACTCGGTGTTGTAAGTGTCCCGAAGACACAGAGAGACTGCTGTACCACAACCCGGTGAGGAGCAGACTGTCGGACATTTCTAGAGGCTGAAACCAAGGCAAACCCTAAATCACTGTGACTGAATGATGTCAACTCAAAACAACCCGACAGGACAGGGCAGAACTGCCCCTCTGAGTTTCTGAGACTGTTTACAGGAGTAGAAAGCCTCCTCTTCCTAACTCCGAGTGGCTGGTGGTCCAGAACAGTTGACCTTGAGTTAGCAGCCCAACGCCTACCCACTGCGCCACCTCCATTCTGGAGACGGGGAGCCTGAAATCAAAAGTATCAGCCGGCTAGGCTCTCATGAAGTCTCCAGGGAGACCCTTCCTGACTTCTCTTGGTTGTCAGCAATTCTTGGCGTTGCTTGATTTGTAGATGCATCGCTTTAACCTCTGCACTGTTCACAAGGCTGCCTTCCCTCCAAGTCGGAATCTCTCCTCTTGGATAAGAGACACCGGGCCCACCCTACTCCACTATAACCTCAGGTTAACTAATGACATCGTCCCAAAGCAGTCCCCCTTCACACACCCCGGAGGTTGTCTTTCACAGGGCCACCACTCTACCCCGTCACACAGTGCAGCAGAAGCCTGTCTACAACTTGCAGCAGTTAGGCAAGGAGAGGCCACGTCGTGCTTCGTAGTGAATGAAGATGCAGCCGGCACGGAGGGCCACCCTAGCTCATCCCAGCGCCACTTCCTTCAACAGCTGCTGCCTCGGGTGGATTGATTATGCTCGTTTAGGCGGTGATTACATTAGCTTAATGACTCATCTGGCTGCCACCGGTGCCCCCTCCTTCAGCAGGAAGTACCTGGGCACTGCTGTCTGTCGTGAACCTCAGTAATGAGGCCTGGCCCGGTCGTTCCCAGCTCGCGTGAGGGTCCTGTTGCAGGTGTCTGTTTCAGACCAGCCCCAATCGGGCTGGTGTTGGAAAACAGCAGTCTATTTGCAGGTTCCCTTGGTAACCCGAGGAGTCTAGATTGCGCTCGCTCGCAATTGCCTCTCGGGTGCCAAATGCTAGAATTCTAGATGGCAACTCAATGGCCACCCCCTCCATCCACGGCACATCTGCATGAAGATGGCCCCAGATGAAGATCCCAGGGAGGCCCTCCCCACCCCCACCCAAGCCCCCTACATTTGTCTGGGACTACCTCCCTAAGGCGAAGCCCTGCCTGCCAGCTCGCCTGGAGGGCTCAGTGCGGTGGCTCTCAGTCCTTCCCCGGCCTTGTGGAAACACAGCCCTGGAAGGCACTCCCTCCCTTCCCTTCCAGCCCCACGTCCTCGTGTGTGTGCGCGCAGCCAAAGGAAGATGCAAGAAAGAGGGTGCACGGTGGTCCCACCGGGGAGCACGTCGGACCGTGTGCCCTGCCTCCCGGCAGCCCCACGCAAAATGGAACAAAACACTGCCTGGCCCTGCCCCATCCCCCGACGAGCTGTGATCCACGGGGCTGTCACTGGCTGACTTTCAGGTCTTTCTTCTGATTGCCAGACCTTTCTTCCTAGTCCATCTCCACCTGGAAGCACCGCTGAAACCTGTTCCGCACCGCAGCAACCTGCACGCCTCGCCTGACAGACGGCTGGTGGCTGCACCTGAGGTGCTTTGGTTGGAAATTGAACCTGGCTCTCCTGTATGACAGGTGAGCATTCACCAAGGAATCAAAACTTCATCCCCTCACTCCAATTAGTGAACAATGTGTCACATTAGTAAGATACATAATATATATTACTATATGTTTGTCATGTATATGTGATATACATGTAATGTTTATGTGTCTACATGTGTAGATGTGTGTAATATATATGTGATATGTATGCAATATATTACTAAAGCTGTTATATATATCTCCAGCATTCTTGCATTGTTTTTCAAACCTGCCATCAGCCTCCCAGCCTGGTGAGGTGAAGGCCACCACAATGTGACAATGAGCGTCTGATACTCTGGGTTCCCATCAGTAAGCCTTCCATAGATTCCCCCTCGTGGAGGGAGTTACAGCACGGTCTCCGCAGAGAGCCCCTGGGGGCCCAGGGACTCAGCCACGGGACTCTCCTGTGGCCTTGCCCTCCCACCCCAACATGTGGAGGCAGGGGTTCTGCGGGACGAACCCCAGCAGCAGCAATAAAGAAGAAGTGGGAGAAGAGGAGCTCAAGGGGCGGCTTGAAAGTTGAGCGGACAATCGCGAGGCTCTGTCTTGGCTGACAGGTCACCCACACACAGACGCGGACCAACACGCAGACAGAAACTCACCCTCACCTTCACCGAGCCCGGGACGCATGCAGACACGCAGGCCCAGGCAGACACTGGCATGCCTGCACACAATAGATATAAATGTGCGTCCAAACAGAGACACCTACCCTCAGCAGACACACACAGACACAGACACAGACACACACTCACACACATCGAGAGACAGACTCAGGCTCCAGGTGGGCCCTGTGGCTCCTCTGTGTGAATTAGAGAGAGTCATCCCATAGAATGGGAGGGAAGGAAGGAACTCAACTCAGATTCCTTAAAAAGCCCCGTCTCACCGGACTAGCGGAGACTGGAAGCCTCCCGAGACTCTCTCCCTCAGATACTCTTTAAACTTTGGATCTAAGCTGTCTCCTAAGTAACAGATTGGTAGTAAAATAGACAACATTGCCGTGAGCACTGCCTTCCCTGAAAATATCGGTTAAATGAGACCAAAGGGTCCACAAGGACTCTTTGCAGCAAAGCTGTAACGGCAATCCCCCAAATTCATTCCCATCCAGCCCCTTCCAACACACAGGGACCCTACAGGACAGGGTAGACCTGCCCCTGCGAGTTTCTAAGACTGTCACTTTTTACGGAAGTAGAAACCCCATCTTCCTCCCATGGGGCAGCTGGTGGTTTCGAACTGCTGCCCTTCGGTTGGCAGCCCAACTGGTAACCACTATGAACTAAGGGAGCAGAGAACCAGAGCGCTGGGAACAGAACAGCAACACGGAGGAGGCTCACACACTCTGAGAACCGGCCCAGCTTTATGAAACAACACGTGGAGAAAGGGTTAAGTGGGAATCGAAGCCACTGGGCCATTTTCCCCACAAACATAATAAACCCGTCTTCAGGGAGCAAAAAAGAGGGGCTCGTCCAGAGGACCCAGGGACGCACACCCCACAACCACACTGGGTAGTCCTGCTCTACCAGGGCTTTCCTGGGGTGCGGAGGCTGAAAAGCGCAGACACGTGGCTTTTCCCTGTATGGACTGAGGCCTCCTGCCCAGAAATACCCAGGGCTCGGGGAACAGCCCACCCTGCCCGAGATGTGTGACCGTTACCTGTTGGGGTAGGTGATGTTGCAGGGCACCTTGCCTGTGTAATTCTCATTGAGCCAGCGATTCGCCAGTGCTTGCTGAATATTTGGCCTCTTCACGGGATCGGGTTCCAGGAGAGAGCGCAGGAAGGTGATGGCGCCTGTGAAGAGAGTCAGCAAAGAAAGTCATGCCGGTGATAGCGGAGTGCACAGACCGCCCTCGGCCCCTCGAATGAACGACCCCGCCCGCGGCTGCTGGACCATTCGCTAGGCCTTTGGACGAAGCATTCTTCCATAATTCATAGCGCCTGGTTCCAGCCCCACCGCCTTCCAGATAGGTGGGGTGTCTTCCATCCCATTTCTATTTTCCCTCTTTTAACATGAGAAATGACAGAAGCCCAAAGATATTTAAATGAGGTGTGATATTGGTAGGCAGTAAATCGAAAGTGGATCCTATGCCTAGTCTCAAAGCAACCTGCAGTCTCTTCTCATGGTGCAGAGGTGAGGCTGGAGGGGATAAGAGAAAGCAAGCAGGAAGCACTTACACTAAGGGAGGCTTTGCACACTCAGAAAGCGGACAAAAGGCTGGAAGAGACTCTAAGTCAGACCCTCAGTGAAAGGCCTATGGATTGCAACAGTCGGACACGTCGTGGATACGGGCGGTGCTGATGAAAGGGCTTACTGTGGTGGGGGCTGGGGGTGACTCAGAGTGACAGACGACAGTAGAGCTTCTCCTGTGGGTTTCTGAGGCTGCAGACCTTTACATGAGCAGGGTCGATGGGCTGTCATCAAGAGGTGCCAGCTGTGAAGCTGGCTGGTCAGCCCCAGGTAACTCCTCAAGGGGGTTCCCTCCGAGCTGACACGTTGTCAGCTGGTTATTGTCTTTGCAGAAAGCCAGAGGGGTGTCTTCGTCTCCCGGGCTGCCATGTCTTGAAAGACCAGATATTATATTCTCACTGTGTAATGGCTCCTTTTCATTGCTCAACTCAGCTGGGCTATGGTTCCCGGTGGTTTGACTAAACACGAGACTAGCTGCTGTTTCGGAAAGCAATCGAACGTATTGTCATGGGACCATCGTTCCCCTGAAAGGGACCTGAACGTTTGAGGGCGTGGTCTGTTTCCAGATTATAAATCTGCGTTTTGACAGAATTTGTCTCCTCTCTCATCTCTGCATTCTTCCTCTTGCCTGACCGACCGATCTAGGGACACAAGCCTAGAGAAGTCTCCAACCTGCAGCATGGCCTACGGCCTTTGGACTGGCAAGCCCGCCACAGCCCCACTAATGCCCTGATGTAAATCTACCGCCCCTTCAGGGGTTGGAGCTGCACCATAACTTGGGAGACACAATTCAGCCCAGAACAGTAGTCCTGCTAGACATGTATCACCCACGTTTTATATCTGGGTCTCTGAGAAAAACTATCCATGTGCTCCTCCCACCCACTGCCATTGAGACAATTCTAACTTGAAGCAACAGACACCATCGGGCAAAGTAGAAGAGCCTCTGCAGGCTTCTGAGGCTGGAAATCTTAATGGAAACAGAAAGCCTCATTGCTCTTCCTTTGGGACGGCTGATAGGTTTGAACCACCAACCTTGCAGTCAGTAGCCCAATGGGTAACACAGTATGTTACCAGGTCTCCTACACGTTCCTCAATGGTGTGAGCTTATTTTATGGATGCTTAACCAGGGATCGATCAGCCAACGGCAAACAGATGTAGGCGTCGTAAGTGAAGCTAGGAGCAAACGAGGGCTAGCTAAGTGGCGAGTCTCCCCAGAGGACCTGAACTGATGCCCAGGCTGCGGCCAGGCTCTTCCGAGTGTGATTAGCCGAACGGCTCAGAACAAACCGGATGTACGTCCGTGTTCTATTTTCATAGTCAAGCGCCCGGCAGCTTCACAAACTGCTGATGAGCACGAGTAATTGTAGTTCAAACCTCCACTGACAAACCTTATTTAAGTGTTACAATCATCGCCTTACTCTCCAGAAAGAGCTTTTGACGTTTTCTAAGAGTTCTTTGAAGAAGGAATAGGGTCTTGGACATCGCTGTGTCTCATAAGCAGAAGGGATTCGAAGAGCCGGATGCAATGGATAAGCGCTGAGCTGTGAATCAAAAGTCAGTGGTTTGAACCCACCACCAGCCAGGGGGAGAAAGACTGCGGACCTCCTTCGAGAAAGAGTACAGCCAGGAGACTCGACGGGGCAGTTCCACTCTGTCCCACAAGGTCGACAGGAGTTAAAAACCCACTTACCCACACCTGAAAACAACAACAACAACTCACTCACTCACTCACTCCAGGTCCTAGAAAGCCAAGGGTGGCCACATGCACCCTTCACTCCTGAGACCAGCACTCAGGCTCCCCATCCAAACCCAGAGGGTCTCTATGAGCCGCCTGGTTTGTGCAACCACCAGAATCAACACAACACAAAGTGTGTGTCCTCTCACATAAAACTCACTTTCCTCCCTTCCTTTTGTCAGCTTCTCAATATCTGCACAGGCCTGTGAGAGAACACTGTTGCTGGGCAAAGGAAGCAGAGCCCTGGTGGCATAGTGGTTAGGCGTTGGGCTGCTAATCAAAAGGTCAGCAGTTCGAAACCACCCGCTGTTCCACAGGAGAAAGACTTTCTATTCCTGTAAAGAGCTGCAGTCTCAGAAATCCACAGGGGCAGATTTACCCTGTCCTGTGGGGTCACCAGAAGTCTGACAGTGAGTTTTGATGAGGTAGCAGAAGGAGCTCTGGTGGCACCATGAGTTAGGGGCCTGGGTTGCTAACCACGAGGTGGGTGGTTCAAACCCACCCGCTGCTCTGCAGGAGAAAGATGATGGTGTCTGCTCCTGCAAAGATTCACAGTCTCAGAATTTTTATACCAGGTGTAACCAGCTCGATGCCAGTGGGCTGGGTTTTAGTCACATGTGGGATGCAAATGGAGTTCCACCCCATCTGAGGCTCCTTGCTTATCACTTGCCAGGCTGCAGCAGTCCTAAGAATTGTTTGATAGTTAAATGTTGAGAATTCAAGTGTGCCCCACTGTAGCTGAGGAGGAATCTCTAGGGCACTGAGGCGAAAAGGGTGGTGTTAACTGAAAGCCTGCGGGTTCATTCCAGAGGCTAATCAGACAATGTCGGATAATTCACTTCTGAAAAACTGGCCCTCAAATCCCTGTGGGCGGATCTACTCTGACACACGGGCTGCCATGGACGTGATGGCCGCTGGTGGCGGACACCTGTGAGTTAATCCGGTTTGCAAAGATGGCCTTCAGGGGAGCCGATAATAATGGTAAAGGGAGACAAGATTAAAGTTGTCAAGCATTTCATTTTGCTTGGATCCACAAGCAGCACTCCTGGAAGCAGCGGTCCAGAGATAAAATGGTGCATTGTACTGGGCAAATCTGCTGCACAAGCCCTCTTGAAGGTGCTGAGAAGCAAGGGTGCTATTTTGAGGACGAAGGTGTGCCTGACCCAAGCTATGATATTTTCAATGGTCTCAAACGCATGTGAAAGTTGGACCTGAATAAGGAAGACCAAAGAAGAATCAATGCATGATGAAGTACAGTGCTGAAAGCTGCATGGACACACAAGCCCGTCGTGAAAGAAGTACAGCCACGTGCTCCTGAGAGGTGAGGAGGGCGAGGCTGACATGCTGTCAGGAGAGACCAGTCCCTGGAGAAGGACATTATGCTTGGCAAAGTGGAGGGGCAGTGGAAAAAGAGAAAGATCTTTGACAAGATGGACCGAGACAGTGGCTGCAGTGGGTTCCAACGTAAGAACAATCGTGAGGACGGTGCAGGGCTGGGCCGCGCTATGTTCTGTTGTGCGTTGAGTCGCTCTGGGTCAGAGCCACGTCAGCGGCGCCCCACAACGATGATAATCATGAGCACGAGAATGAAGGAAATGTTCTAAAACTGACTGCGGTCATGCCTGCACAACGCTTTTTAACACATTTAAACCATCGAATTGTAAGGCAGTGATTCCACATCAATGGAATTGAAAAGAAAAGAAGGCTTTTGTTAATGTGCTGCTGTAATTGGATCACACTCAAGTGGGGTGATGGGGTGACGCCCAAATTTTCATTTTAAAAAGAGTAGATTGTGCATAAAAAACGCACGCACACAGGAAAGCCGAGACCACGAGAGGATAGCCTACAAGCCCAGGAACCAAGGAACACCGCAGGGCGACTGACAAGAAAAGGATGCATGTGGCCAACACCTTGATCTGGACTTTCAGTCTGCAGAATCTTGAGAAACTACATTCCCACTCTTTCAAGCCTACCCCGCCTCTCCCCCAAGACATTTCGGTGAGATCCCGTGGAAACCCCATCAGCCCTCCTCTGGCTTCCCGCTTGCCACGAGGCAGGGCCCCCGCCGTGCCGCCACCTCCACCTTCCTTCGCTGCTCCGACACCCCCACGCCTCCCACGGCAATCTCCGCCTGTGCTGGATGCTGGGTTCCGGAGTTCGCTGCGATGGCCACACAGAACTCCCAGGCAATATTCACTCTTAAGCGGGCTTACCCGGGAAGTTCACACTGGCAGGATTAGTAAATAGGCAAGACACAGGCATCTCTCTTCAGCAGCAGCTAAGTTCCTTCCCTAGTGCCCAGCCTCCCAGCCACGTGGTCCACTGGTCTCGGTCTCCCTGGGCCAGGAAGCCTCTGACTCACAGGCCCACAGTCTCAGTACTGCTGCTCTGCCTTAGGGTCTTCTTGTTTCAATCTCTGGTCTTGGCCTCCGCCACTTCAGACAGAGGTCTCCAATGTGCTGTATTGGGGGCTCTTCTTCCAATGGTCCTGGAATTTCTCTCTCTTCCTGCTGAGATGACTCATCCTTATAGCCAGGGAGGGGCAACTAAAACTGACCAACCTTCTCTATTAAGGTGGGACACACCTTATTTGCATAGCCGCACCCAATCATCTGGTGGGAATTAGAGATATGGATACTCACTCATTGAAATTGAGTCAATGCTCACTCAGAGCAACCCTCTAGGACAGGGTACAACTGCCCTTGTGGGTTTGAGATGATGCCACCGGGGCTCCTGAGACATGGGGAAAAGAGCAAAATTCAGAAATCTCACTCCACTGCACAGCAGCACTAGGTAACCGAGATGTCAAGCATTTTCAGAAACTTCCACTAGCATTGGCTCAACCGTCACCAACACACATGCGTCACC